GCTCCATAGGAAATGAATGGAGAGCGAGCGACGTCGCCTCCCGTGTGTCGAGCCCTTAAGAAAGCACATTTATGCCTGTGAAGCCGCAGGCCGGCTTCCTTGAGTCTTTTGAGTACCTCATCTAATGTTTGCAGGTGCTCGACAGTGTCTCTACCTGTCAGCAGTATATCATCTAAATATACCACAACCCTGGGCAGACCTTGTAACAAGCTTTCCATCGTCCTCTGGARAATAGCTGGGGCTGATGACATGCCGAATGCTAGTCTGTTGTAGGTGAAAAGACCACGATGTGTATTTATTGTCAGGTATTTCTTTGACTCTTCATCCATGACATCTGCTGATACGCATGACTTAGATCAAGCTTGGTGAACTGTTTCCCTCCTGTTAGTGCATTAAAGAGGTCTTCCACACGGGGAATAGGATATTGTTCCAGTRATGAAGCATTGTTTACGGTTAACTTGTAGTCGCCACATATTCTGATAGAGCCATCAGGCTTAAGAACAGGTACAATGGGCGCTGCCCACTCTGCATACTTCACTGGGGTTATGATGTCATCCTTCAAGAGCCTTTCTATCTCCTCCTCAACCTTGGCCCTCATGGCAGAGGACTGAGTGGGGCCAGCAGAATTTGGGACAGGCATCTGTAGATACACGGATTGTTGCTTGCGTTCCTTTTAACATGCCTAACTCTTCTTTAAAACTTCTTCATGTCTTGAGAGAACTTCGTGTAATCCCTGTGCCTCTGTTTTCACATGCTTAATATCATCCCATTTGAGCTTTAACTCTTCCAGCCACCCTCTGCCTAACAGGCTTGGTCCAGTTCCCTTCACTACCACTAGKGGCAATGTTTTGGTTTGGCTTGCATAGTTCACCTCAACCTGAGCCACTCCCACAACTGTTACTTTCTCTTTCTCTCCACTGTATGTCCTAAGAGAGTTTGCTTTCTTTTATTTGTGGTTGACTTCCTTCATGCCACATCTCCCTGAACAGTTTTTCATTCATAATACTGACACTACATCCCGTGTCTATTTCAAAYTTTACTTCTTTTCTGTTKACTTTCACCYTTACTTCAAATGGTTCAACTCTTTGAATAGAAGTTTYGGTTTTCAAACATRYTAGAGTGAATGCTTCCTYATCTTGATCTGAACTGCTTTCATCATTTTGTTGTTCACATACCTTGTGTGATCTGTGTGGCTGCCCCCGGTGACCAAACTTTTCCTTGGGGCACACATCATCTTTTCTTTTATTTCTGGATCTGCAYGCTCTGGCAAYATGCCCAACTTTTCCACAGCTGTGACATTTGGAGTCTTTAAACTTACATTCGGTGGCATTGTGATTTTTCCCGTGACATCGGTAACACWCTTTTTCTTTCTGTTTCCAACTTCCTCTCGTGTCTCTCTCCTCTGCCTTCATGTTGTTACAYRTTGCTGGCTCCTGCAGGTCATGAGCGTTTCTGTTYGCRGCTTCCGCAGCTACAGCAATCTGAAATGCTTTCTCAAAAGTCAGATCAGTCTCTGATAGTAGCCTTCTTTGAATCCTATCATCATTGATCCCGCACACCAGACGATCCCTCAACATCTGTTCCAAYGTAGCACCAAAGTTGCAATCCTGAGCAAGCCACCTCAACTCTGCTACATATGCGCTGATGGATTCAGTGGGCTGACGTGAACGAGAGTCAAACTTGTACCTTTGTACAATCTCACTTGGTTTAGGATTGAAGTGCTCTTTCACTGTTGTTACCAACTGCATGTAGGTTTTAGAGCTGGGCTTGTCTGGGCTCACTAGGTTTCTCATTAGCTTGTAWGTAGCTGGTCCCACCACGCTAATAAGGATAGCTCTCTGTTTGTCCCCATCATTAATGTCATTGGCTTCAAAAAACTGATCGAGAATCTCGCAGTATTCTTCCCAAGTCTGCTCTTTGGCATCAAATGCTGACAGAGTACCTATCATTGCACTCATTTTTATAGTTTTACATCACCTTAGTTAGATCTGTTGTTGGTCTTCTTGCTTTCACTTTCACTTCCACTGGCCACATGCATCCAGACAAGCTCTGCGTCTTGAATCAGGCACAATCCACGTCCATTATCCTCGTCGCCAATATGTGATATCTTCACTCTTGGGAATGTTGTCCACTCTCAGTAGATACAGTATACTGTATTTAAACTTATTTTTTAATGCTCTTCACAGCTTACAGTTAGAGTACCAGTTCTGTATAGCACATGGGGTAACTTCTTCTGCTCTAAATCTCCTGCAGTAGCTTTTTTAGGTTTTTCTCTGCTACTGCCTGTAGTGGTGTTGGCTGGTAACACAACCAAAAACAAAAGATTACTAAATCAGGATACCACAGTACCCGAAGTAATTATTACATTATACACATTTTCAAGTAATTCTTTTCTTTTTTTTACTTTCTTAGACATCCAAAGATAATATAATTTTTAGAAGGTTCAAGCAAATTTGGAATCTTGAGCCAGCATTGCACATCATCCCAGAAAGCTTTCCAGTTTTACAAGCATAAACTAAAATTATTGAATCTCATTTACTAAAAGCTCTGGAGTAACCAGGTTTATATAATAGAGGTTCTGGGGAAAAAAAACCCGTACATAAAATGTTTTAAGGGACAACCTTAGTAGTTTTTTGAAACYCCTTTTTGTTTATTTACAAGTTGTATTTAATGGTCAGTAGGACAGAGATCCCAAACTCAGCATTAAATATAAATAATGGCTGTGATGGGACATTAACTTATAAATATAGTAAGAAATAAACAGCCCATTTACATAAATGCAGTCTGCATTTCTATTAAGTTACTTTCCTGGCTTTGRCTTCTACAACAGTGTAGTTTTTAGCTTGTGTTTGATATTTTGCATGTTTTAAAATTTGTTTTAAATTGTATTTTAGCTGCCTTGGGAGAAGTATACAGCTCTAGATTTATGTTTTAATATTTGTAATTTTATGCCAGGTGCTCTCAGCTTTCTGGTTTTGAATTCAGTCTCTGTTTTTCTCAGTTCACTTTCCATAGGAGTGCGTGGAGGAGTCTTCACCCTAACATTTGCAAGATTAAACCTTCGACTCAGGAATCGTCTCTTCAGAACCCTGATGGGGCAGGAAATTGCCTTTTTTGACGAAAACCACACTGGTAATGTCGAAGCATCAACTTTTTTCTGTTCATGCGCATTTCGTTTTTCACCCTGCCACATCAGATTTCTCTAAAAACATGTCTGCGTCACCCCCCACAGGGGACATCCTTTCACGTTTGTCGGCCGACACCACCCAGGTGAGCGACCTCATCTCCCAGAATGTCAACGTCTTCCTGCGAAGCACCATCAAGGGTTCTGGATTCTTCATCTTCATGTTTAAGATGTCCTGGAAGCTCACTCTGGTCACCGTCATGGGATTTCCTTTCATTGCCCTCGTCTCTAAAGTTTATGGTGAATACTACAAGGTGAAGTACTTTTGCCTTTGAAGTATCTTGTCTTTCTGGTTTAATCTTGGTTGAAAAAGGTTTGCAAATCCTTATTTTCTTGTTTTTATTTATACGTGGCTTGGCCAAAAAGTCTCCACCTGGATTTAACTAAGCAAACAGGTACAAGCCTCCTATTGGATAATTACTGCAGGGCTGATTATCTATCAGCAACAAGTTATTGAACCCAACTGGTTCAATGAGTTGTTTCTCATTTCTTAAACAACCAAAGAYRCRTCCTGTGGTCATGGAGAAGATGTCAGTCTGTTTGAGAAGAGTCAAATCATTGGCATCAAGCAGAGAAAACATCTAAGAGATTGTAGAAACTACTAAAACTGGATTAAGTACTGTTCAACACATTATTAAAAACTGGAAGGATATCTTCCAGGATGCTCCCATCATGTCTACTGTACAGCCTGTGGAGGGGGGGCTATGATTGGTTGCTGCAGTTGGTCCGGTCTAGGAAGCTCATCCAAACAATGCCACAGTGAATGTGTGCTGTAATCAGAGCTAACGGTGGTCCAATGAAATATTAGACTGTGTGACCTTTTTTTTATTTGGCCAGGCTGTGTATTTCACATCATGTCACCTCATTAGAACTGGGGTTGTATTTGACCGTTTTGTTGTTGCAGTCTGATTTTACAATTGTTTAAAATATATTTTTACTCTCATTAATCCACACTGAGCACACTATAATGCAAAGCAGAAACATAATTGGATGGAAATACATGAAAAAAAGGTAAATGGACTGTACTAATAGTGCTTTTCAACCCAACCTGTGCCCTCATTTATCCATTCACATTCATTCAGCACTCTGCTACATCTCTCATGGATAAATCATTCTACTACTAAACAGTGTTTTATACACCTTCATACACTGATGGGACACATTAGAGGCACTGAAGGGTTCCATGTCTTGCCCAGGGACACTTTGACATGTAACTGAATAGTGGTGGAATCGAACCTCCAACTCTCTGGAGGACAACTGCTCTAATCACTCAGCCACAGCCGCATGAAATGTGATACTGAAGTGTCACATTTACAGAYGTATTAGACTCTGTGCCTGGTACTGAATTACAGCTAGGAGTCTTTTGGGTTTGAGGAACGAGCTTTTACACATGGATTGTGACATTTTCTGCCACTTTTCTTTGCAGATCCTCACACAGTCTGACTGGGTGGTCTCATTTTAGTTCTGTTTGATAAAGTCAGGGCTTTTTTTTAACTATCCCTGACATCCACAGGCTTCTTGGTGTTTTTTGGGTCATTGTCATGTTGGAACATGTCTTTGGCCTGAAGTCCTGAGCTCTGTGAACATGGGTTTTTGTTAAGGATATCTCAATTATTTTCTGATTTTTTAATTTATGTTTTTATTTTTCTCATCAACCCTGACCCATCTTCAAATCCTTTCTGCTGAAAAACACGCACACAGCATGATGCTCCCTCCACCATGCTTTACTGTGGAGATGGTGTTGAGCAGGTGATAAGTGGTGCCGGGTTTCCTTCAGACATAATGCTCTGAGGGCGAACAGTTCAGTTGTTTCATTAAACCAGACAATCTTTTTCCTCACAGTCTGAGTCCTTATGTTTGATGAAATGCTTCTACTGTGATGGACTTGCGACCTGTCCAGGGTGTACCCCACCCCTCGCACTGTGACTGCTGGATATGGGCACCAGTGACCCTGAGGGGAAGAAGCGGGTATATACTGTAGATGATGGATGGACAGACAGACATGATTCTGTCTAGGCACTTTGTCATGCCACATCAGTGGAGACCTGCTTTTGCTCTGGCTCTTCTGGTTGTCCTCCTGGAAGTTGGTCATATTTCCACACAGCATCTCTGAAGCTCAGTCAGAGTGACCATCAAGTTCCTGGACACCTCTCTTACTAAAACTGTTCTCCCTTTGATTGCTCAGTGTGGCTGGGTGACCAGCTCTTGGAAGAGTCCTGTTTGGTACATTTAAAATTTATTGAGGTCACTGAGCTCTGGGGAACCCACAGAGCAGCAAAACATTTTGTATTTTTCTTCAGATCTGTGCTTTGCTGCAGTCCTCCTGCCTCTGAGCTCTGCAGGCTGTTCCTTTGATCTCATGGTTTGGGTTTTGCTCTGATTATCAGCTAGGAGGCCTTCTGTAGACTGGGAATTTGGTCCAATTTAATCCACAGGTGGACTATGTATCTGAGCAGAGGCACTCAGCTGAGCTAAATATCAAGTATTGATGTGAAAGGTCTGAGTACTTACATACATGTAAATATTTCTATGTTTTTGTATTACTTTATTTTTTTTTTTTTTACAAATTTACAGAACTGTATACGTGTCTGTTTTTACTTTGTCATATATGAAAGTAAGTGCAAATTATTGAGCACTAAAAACATTTATGTTTAGATAAGTCAGGGGTGTCAAACTCCTTTTCACCGAGGGCCATGTGAGCTTTATAGTGGTCCTCAAAGGGCCAGGTGTAATTAACTTTAATGTTTCATGTTTAACTTCAACTAACCGTCCTCTTCTCAACACTGAAGAGTACAACATGTACAACTGACTAAATCTGAAATAAATAATACAGAAATACTCAAAATTAAAAGTGAGAGAGTTTTACTAGAGTTGTGTTGAGTAACCTTGAATTCTGAACTCTCCCACTAGAATTACCAGCATAAACAACATGCATAATGGGAAATGTAGTTTATGGTGGGTGCTGGCTTTAAAGCAGAGACATTATTACTGAGCTATCCAACTAAACTGCTCTGTTACTTAAAGCCAACAGCTCAGGGGCAGGACAAGTATTATTATATTTCACCTTTTAAATTGGTTTATTTTGTTGTATAGAATCACAAACTTAAAGTTTACCATTGATTAAAAAAACTATTTTCATATTAAGTAAAAAAATTGTTTTCGTGGGGTGGACTCCCCCTGGCCGGCCAGACGGGAGTCACCTGTGGGCCACATTTGGCCCATGGGCCTTGAGTTTGACACATGTGCTACAGGTGCTAGGACAGGAGCAGGCTATTTTTTCATCTTAAATTTGATGAAAATAAATAGATTGTAAACTCACACTGAAGTGGTTTTGTAAAAAAAAAAAAAGCCAAATCCTTAATAGGGTTTCATACCTTACAAGTGGCAGACATCCAAAACACTACGTGTGTTTTTTCCTCATGTAATCTTAATGTTTTCCTTGTTTGTTTGTGTTTTACATTCTAGAAACTCACCAAAGAGGTGCAAACAACCCTGGCAGAGGCCAATAAAGTTGCAGAAGAAACCATCTCAGCCATGAAGACGGTCCGGAGCTTTGCCAACGAGAGCGGCGAGGCCGACTCCTACTACACCAAACTGTTGGTCATGTTCCAGCTGAACAAAAAGCAAGCCCTGGCCTACGCTTGCTACATGTGGTCCAGTTGTGTAGGTTTCTGCAGCTGCCTTGGYTGGCTGGTGTCTGCAGGTTCAAGTGTAAGCATCTGTGATGTTTATTGGTGTTTTTCAGATGTCAGAACTTGCTCTTGAGGTTGCTATTCTTTACTACGGAGGTCACCTTGTGCTCACTGGTCAGATGAGCAGCGGAGGCCTAATTGCTTTTTTYATTTATATGCTTGAGCTGGGAGAGTGCTTTGAGGTAATTCATCAGTTATTTGATCAGTTTTTCTCTTCAACGAGAACAGAGCAGCAGACACCTTACAGAAACATTAACTTCCTGTTTTTCAGAGCATTGCATCCGTGTACACAGGCCTCATGCAGGGAGTCGGAGCTGCTGAGAAAGTGTTCGAGTATCTGGACAGAAAACCGAAACATCCCGCCGATGGCACAGAGGCTCCAGACACATGCACCGGTCTGGTTGAATTTAAAGACATTACATTTGCTTACCCAACACGCCCTGAGACTGATGTCCTCAAGGTTTGTTCTGAGAAGAAAACACACTCGCAAAACTGTTAGGACAAATTACACACCGTCATGGTAAAAAACAAAGCCTACTCTCCTTCACCTCAAAGGTTTTACAGTTCAGAACATGTTAACAATGATCGGGTCTTCACCAAATMTGACCTCAAGTGTATGAAAGGTTATGAAAACACAACACATTTCAACATGTCATAATTAAACAAAGAAACACCAGCAGTGACCTTAGARACAATTATTGTTGTCTGTAAATCAAACAATTTGGAGTCATCATCATTCTCCAGTGAGAAACATAAGTGGAACAGATTTAGGACAGCTGCTCATATTCCCACAAGTGCACACCCCCTTGAAGAAATTTATTGAGGTTTGTTCACTTACTTATTTTTAAAAGCACCACACATTCTGTGGTTTTTCTTAGGTGAAACATGATATATATTTTATAAACTACTGTGTGAATATTTTTGTGATTAAAATGATTTTATGTACAGACTGGTCTGGATGGCTAGATGACACGGTCACTCAGACCAGGACGTACATGTATGTAGATACATGCCTGAAAACATCTACAACACATTTTTACATAGAAGTCAGTTTTCTCTGTTGAAGGTTTCTGGTCACATGATGGAGAGAACCTCCATCGATGGGACAGCTTGCCTCTAGGCAGTGGCCAGAACATGAAGGAGTTGTTGATAAGATGCTGAAACTTCGTGGCTGAGGCCAYGGCTGATTAAATGGCTGAGGCTATTAGCCTAGCTGATGTATCACTTYGGTTCTTACATTAACATTCAAGTCTTAATTCTGTATTTGTTGACTTGTCTTTACACAAATCTCAGTACTGAACACGCTATATTTTACAWCTGCAAATCCATCCCAACATTAGCCCATGCGATGCTCAGAGAAACAAAAAAGGAACTTCCTCTCAGGTGCCACAGAACTCAGAAATGAGGGTAAAGAAGAGTTTAAACAGTTAAAAAGAAAAACATTTTGATTTTATTGAAAAAGTTACAGTACTGTAGAATACATTTTTCTCTAAATAGAACATAGAACCATGACTTAGATTTCATCACCTCCCTAAAATAATCACCTAAACCTTTTTTTTTATTTTTCAAAATAGTCTTTTTGCATAAATCGTCTCATGATGCTACCTGTGGTAAAACTACCTTTATCCTGATGAAATCCTTTGATGCTACCTCTTAAGATAATGGATTATGCATTGAGCTTGACTTAAGCTGAGCTAAGTAGTTTTTTGGATTATTATTTCCTGCAAAACTAGCACAATCCAAAAGTGGCTCAGTCAGGCCATTTAATAAAAGTGCAATTTTAGGAACTTTTTTCTTGTGTAATCMCAAAAATACTGACAAAAATATGCTGTGCAAAAAACTCAACATAATAATAAAAGCAAAAGGCAGCTTTAAAAATCAACTTTTTTTTTTACTTGAATTATGGGTATTTATTTATTTAATTTTATTTGAGGACAGCCGCCATCTGAATTTGTTATTTTTGCAGGGAGTGTCATTTACTCTTCGGCCTGGAGAGGTTACCGCCCTGGTGGGGCCTTCAGGCAGTGGAAAGAGCTCCTGTGTGAGTCTGCTGGAAAATTTCTATCTCCCTCAGCAAGGCCACGTGCTCCTGGATGGAAAGCCTGTTCACAACATCCAGCAYGAGTATCTGCACTCTAAGGTGAGTTGACTCAGTTGTGTTGGAAAAATTTCCAGCTAAAATGGACTGTACCTATATAGCACCTTTCTACCCAACCAGGACACTCAAAGCAYTTCACACTACAACCTTGTGTCCTCATTTACCCATTCACACAGCACTCTTAGATCTCCTACAAAGCTAGCATGTACAATCACAATGGAGACTAATCAGTGCCAATCACATTCATACACTGATGGGACACACATCAGAGGCATTAAGGGTGAATTGACTTTCCCAAATACATAACAACTGTTCAGAAGGTCGACCTTCAGAACAACGATTGCATTATTTTAACATGGTTTTACTGTCCCTGTTTTAAATTAATAAGTTTAAACATCAGCGTAGCTGTTCATGATTAAATGCCTTCAAACCTCAACAAACTGAAGCAACAGTGGAAAGAAAAGTGAGTTAAAAATGTATCCACAGCCATGTGAGGCAGTGATAAACGGAATATTCCAATTATTGCTGAAGATGGCTCTACATTCAGAAGGTGGAAATAATTTTTTAGACAGTGCTTGTAAATGTTACAAAACCTGTTCAGAAAATGGAGTCATTGTTTCTTTTTTTGTGTCTTCAGATTGCTCTGGTGGGACAAGAACCTGTACTGTTTGCCCGGACAGTTAGGGAAAACATCAGCTATGGACTGACTGATGTTTCTCTGGAGGCTGTGGTGCAGGCTGCCACCAAAGCTAATGCTCATGACTTTATAAGTGCTCTCCCTAAAGGCTATGACACAAGTAACTACTAAATCTGTTCATTTGAATCAGTTTGGTTCATATGTAAATGGAAATTATATGTTAGCCTGAACCCCTAAGCAGGGGATCATACAACTGTAATATGGATTATGATCAGTAAGCTGTGCATGATAAACATGTATTTTAAGTTGTTTAAATCGTTAAGTACACTCTGGTAAAAGAGCAGTGCCCCAAGCAGATGAAGTCATGACACTGAACTGGTTGTATTTTGTTTTTTGAGGTGTGGGAGAGAAGGGCACACAGTTGTCTGGGGGACAGAAACAGAGGGTGGCCATTGCAAGAGCTCTCATTCGCAACCCTCGTGTTCTCATCCTGGATGAGGCTACCAGTGCTCTGGATGCAGAAAGTGAACACATTGTAAGTAGACTGCTATAACTGCAAACTCTGAATCACAGCTGGTGTTTGTTGGATTTAAATGCAATGACTGGCACTCTACAAGACAATCCTAATGTAAATACTAAAGTCATGTTACAGTTTGTAGCTGAATTCTTTCTCATTCTTGTTTGAAGAACAACTTCAGTTGCTCAGCAGTCCGGGGTCTCTTCATAAAGCTCCACAGATTTTCAATGACAGATAGGTGTGGAGTGTAGGCAGGCCAGACTAGTTCCCGCACTCTTTTACCACAAAGCCACGCTGGACCCCCTGCAGAATGTGTCTTCATTGTGTTGCTGAAATCAGCAGGATGTCCCTGAAAAAGACCAGGCTTGGATGGCAGCATGTGTTGCTCAAAAACCTGGATGTAGCTTTCAACATTAATGGAGCCTTCACAGATGTAACATTATCCATGCTATGGGCAGTAATACACCCCCATACCATCAGAGAGGCTGGCTTTTGTACTTTGCGCTGATAAAAATCAGGGGTCTCATTTATAAAGGATTGCRTGGAAACCATACTAAAAGTGAACATAAGGCCAAAAGGCGGAAATGGC